AGTTACTCTGGAAGAGGAGAGAGGAAAATGGTGAGGTCAAATTTCCCAGACTCAAAATCCTTAAATCCAGATGTTCTCTCCTTGTATTCCATTACCACCTGCACCTATGCTTGTACTGTAGCTCCAATCCTTTCACTTTCCTTCCTTTCTTTTTAATTCAAACTGGACGACTAACTTTCAAGTCCAGAAGCACAGATGTAGTACGGTGGGGCAGGGGAGCACCTAGGAGTTTGTCCAAAAGGCATAGCCTGGAAGGAGACTGCTATAGCAGTATATGAAATGATTTCTTCTTCCCCATAGAGGTGTGGTGCCTGGGTACCCGGAGGTTCACCCCTTGGGCTGGGGAGGGTGAGGCAAACCTTCTGGGCCACCCCATCAGAAGGACCAGCACGTCTCCGAATTACAGGCACGGCTTGTCTGGATTAGGCACAGGATGTCTGGTTTTCTACTTGCACATGCATATGGTAAATAATATGAGCTATATAAAAGGCGGGTGACAGCGTTACACGTGTAGGTGAAGTGCATTAATAAAGAAGCTGGCTTGAGCCTTGTCGGGTCCCCAACGTAGGCTGCATTTTCCATGGAGCGGAGCATCGCGCCGCCGTGCCTTGCCCCTGCCCCTCGTACATCCCGTATTCTGTCTGCCTGCCATGCCCGACAGGGCACCCTGCCGTGTATCTCTCAATTGCTTCTCATGACTAAGGACATTATTTTTGATCCAAACTAATATGTAATTATCTATTTCAGAATGTTTTATTAGGAATTAGGACCCTTTTTATATTTTAACCAAACATATTCATTTCACAGCATGTTAAAAATCATTTTCTCTCTCCTAACTGTGTTTATCCTTTCTCCGTAATATTTCACAGCTGAAGTCCTTTTCTAAGAGAGCTTGAAAAATATTGTCTGGTTTTATTTTTTTTAAATTGAGCATATATGGACAAAATCTGTCCTCTCCTTTCTTGTCCTTAGCATTCTAAAATGTACCTGTGTTCAAATATTAAGAAATAAAACAAATATAAATTATGCATTTTCCAAGTTAATTTAAAATGCATTATGCACTGCTTTGTTCTCTGGAATTAGTATTATTAAGGGGACAGATCTGTATGGATTAATTTTGAGTCAGTTTATTCACTTCTTTGTAATTCAGTGGCAAGGATTTCTGTCCCCAGGCATCAAATTAAAATTTTTACTGTAAGTAACACATACACAATATGGACCTCTTTGTATTGTTTCTTTGTTTTTCTATCAGACAGCGTATTTACATATTGTATTCTTTCACAAAACCATCTCTTTCAAAGTAAACAAAACTTTCTCCCCCCCCTTCCTGAAAATTATTTCAATGTTCCCATTGTCACCGTACCCAACTGGCATCTAGTTCTAGTTTGGAGGGTTTTTTTCCCCCTTTCCATCAATAATCACATAATATTTAGCTGTGTCTTCCCCGAGTTCTATCACAAGCTGAATAACCATCCAACCTCTTTTTCCTTCCAAATATTTTTGGTGGTGTTTAAGCTGCTGCTTTATGATTATTTTTTTTAAAAAACAAGCTATTCAATGATCATTTTAAAATACTGTTTTATTGTAATAATTCTTTGCACTTACATGTTTTAAATCTTTATTTTTCCCTAAACTGAGCAAGAAAATAGAGTCTGCTTTCTTAATTAGTCTTCTTTAAAGAAAATATCCTTTCATATGCACTAATAAAGACTAAGGATCATTTCTCTCTTGTTTAAATAACTGCTTGCTGTAGTATAAAATTGTAAGAGACATGATGCAGATCAAGATGCTGGCTTGAAGTGGAGAAGAGGAACAAGCAGTGCAATAATAAGCAGATTTTAATGATTTACTATAAATCAGCATTTTTGCCCTGTCAGTGAGATTGAAGAGGCAGACAGCTCCTCACATGTCTGCCTAGCAAATGTCTTCCTGATGAATCATGTGCTCTGAATCACTGATCACAACATTCAAACAGCACATCCAAATAATGAGGAAAACATATACACAGCATTCTTACGGCTAGTCTAAAACTGCAGGAATATGTGTTTTTAGTGGTGTGGTAGTTAAACCCCTACATTGATACTATGTCTGTTCAGCAGAGGGTAATATAAGGTTAACTATTGATGCCCTAGCTTTGCTTCCACTCCTTAAACCGACAGAGAAAATCTAATCTTTACATACTCTGCAGGAAAAAAGGTGGCAAAACTGGGTAACAACGTATATTTTTAAATATTTTTCAGCAGACAAATGCATCAACTTACTGAGAGAAATATTACTGCCGTTAATTAGAAAACTACCAAGGCTGGTATTTTATACACAGGGTAGTTCAGATGACCACTGTTAATAATTTTAGTTGAGCACTAAGATAATAGTGGTTATAAAATATTATGCACTGCATTCCATACTATACCCTGATGCTCCTCGCAATCCTGCCAATGCTTTCAGGTAACCAAATAATTGTCATGAAAGTCTCTGCCAATCGTGGTGGTGACTGACTCAAGTTCTCCACAGCAAAACTCACAGGTTTCTAACGATGACTTGGATGCAGTGAAGGCTCTGGGGGGGTGAATGGGATGAGGTGCAGCCCCAAAAGTCCTGGGAGGATGGAGTGGTGTCTACTCTCAGTCTTCGCAGGCAACACTCCCATGAGCAGCAGCAGGGCTTAAAGGCGTCAGACAAAACTTTCCTGAGTAAGTACGAGAGCTGACCCACCTCTCCCACTTGGGTTCAAAAAGGCCGATAATTTGCCCAGCAAAATGATTAATTTCCATAATGGTGGAAATTTTCATCCTCGCTTACAGGAGATGCTCTGGTGAGGCTTTGGCATGGTGCAGCTGAGTGAGGGGAAGCCCACCGGCAGGTCAGCTTGGAGGACCTCATCCTGCAGCTCACTAACTTGGCTGTTTGTGGATAAAATGAGGTCCTCAGCTTCCAACAATCTCGCTGTCCTTTAACCTTTTATTAACACCATCACGTATTCAGCAAACAGTTATGAAAAAAATAATTTTGTATTAGTTTATTTTTCCCTAAACTGAGCAAGAAAATAGAGTCTGCTTTCTTAATTAGTCTTCTTTAAAGAAAATATCCTTTCATATGCACTAATAAAGACTAAGGATCATTTCTCTCTTGTTTAAATAACTGCTTGCTGTAGTATAAAATTGTAAGAGACATGATGCAGATCAAGATGCTGGCTTGAAGTGGAGAAGAGGAACAAGCAGTGCAATAATAAGCAGATTTTAATGATTTACTATAAATCAGCATTTTTGCCCTGTCAGTGAGATTGAAGAGGCAGACAGCTCCTCACATGTCTGCCTAGCAAATGTCTTCCTGATGAATCATGTGCTCTGAATCACTGATCACAACATTCAAACAGCACATCCAAATAATGAGGAAAACATATACACAGCATTCTTACGGCTAGTCTAAAACTGCAGGAATATGTGTTTTTAGTGGTGTGGTAGTTAAACCCCTACATTGATACTATGTCTGTTCAGCAGAGGGTAATATAAGGTTAACTATTGATGCCCTAGCTTTGCTTCCACTCCTTAAACCGACAGAGAAAATCTAATCTTTACATACTCTGCAGGAAAAAAGGTGGCAAAACTGGGTAACAACGTATATTTTTAAATATTTTTCAGCAGACAAATGCATCAACTTACTGAGAGAAATATTACTGCCGTTAATTAGAAAACTACCAAGGCTGGTATTTTATACACAGGGTAGTTCAGATGACCACTGTTAATAATTTTAGTTGAGCACTAAGATAATAGTGGTTATAAAATATTATGCACTGCATTCCATACTATACCCTGATGCTCCTCGCAATCCTGCCAATGCTTTCAGGTAACCAAATAATTGTCATGAAAGTCTCTGCCAATCGTGGTGGTGACTGACTCAAGTTCTCCACAGCAAAACTCACAGGTTTCTAACGATGACTTGGATGCAGTGAAGGCTCTGGGGGGGTGAATGGGATGAGGTGCAGCCCCAAAAGTCCTGGGAGGATGGAGTGGTGTCTACTCTCAGTCTTCGCAGGCAACACTCCCATGAGCAGCAGCAGGGCTTAAAGGCGTCAGACAAAACTTTCCTGAGTAAGTACGAGAGCTGACCCACCTCTCCCACTTGGGTTCAAAAAGGCCGATAATTTGCCCAGCAAAATGATTAATTTCCATAATGGTGGAAATTTTCATCCTCGCTTACAGGAGATGCTCTGGTGAGGCTTTGGCATGGTGCAGCTGAGTGAGGGGAAGCCCACCGGCAGGTCAGCTTGGAGGACCTCATCCTGCAGCTCACTAACTTGGCTGTTTGTGGATAAAATGAGGTCCTCAGCTTCCAACAATCTCGCTGTCCTTTAACCTTTTATTAACACCATCACGTATTCAGCAAACAGTTATGAAAAAAATAATTTTGTATTAGTAGGAAGCTTGGATTTAGAGACTTTAAAAAAAAAAAAAAAGATTATTCCAAGCTTGGTTGTGGTGAGCTTTCGAAAGATAGTAACTTGTAATTCCTAGTTTTGTAGACTGTAACTTTTGCATTTATTACTAATTTTCTGCACTGCTCTAAACACACTGCGCACATTTAGTTTAAAATGTGTTCGTACCATTTACATACACAGTATTTGCAGTTCAAGTCATCCTTATGCAGACGTAGCTAAAGGTTTTTCCTGGAGATCCTGCAGATGAGCTGGCACTAGAAATCCACTGATGGTTTTCCTCCATGTCCCTGTATCCTGCTTCCCATTGGATGCAGAATCACCACGTGTGATCCTGCAAGGAGCTGCTGCCCATTGTTTGAAGACGTGAAATTCAAAGTCCTCATCTTTTCTGGTTTGTATACGCAAGGGAAAAAATAATAATGGGCTTTTAGAAAAATAAAATGTCAATGTATTTTAAACATTACCATGTCAGGCTCAAAAATGTTTTTCAAAAGCATATCCATTTGTTTAATTTGAATAAGAACATACTTAATTTCATGGTCATTTGGTTAAAGCAGTTATTTTTATTAATGTGTTATTGAGCTGGAAGCTGAGGGCACTGGTCAGTTTGCTACTGTATAACTCACTCGCTGGGAGAATGAATTCTCACAGTACAAAGGGGAAAACTCGTATGTGCTATTTAGGAATCACAATGGTATATTTGATCTGTGTTCTTATTTTATTCAAAGTAAGGAGGGGAAAAAAAAAAACAAAACGCTCAGACTGCTGATTTCTGCAGAAAAAATCTGCAAATGAACTGTTCTATTAGCACAAATGTACAAAAGTCTTTAGAACCTCTCTCTTCAAAAGCATAATTAGGTATTTATTTCAGACATACTAACATCTTTGCAGTAGCTAATAAGATGCAGCCCATTTGAATATTAATATAATAAATGATTAAATTAAACAGCAAGATTCAGACTCAGAAATAGCCTTTATAGGTCCCAGGGGGTCACTAAAACTGTATTCCATTTCTTCCTACAGTTAACATAGTACAAGGGACATGAATGCGTAAAGCAATATTTGTCTTATGAAACATGGAGTTTTATATTGTGCTATTCAGTTTTATTACTCCACAGTTTGAAGCTGAGGCCTGTGATGAAGTCACCATGCTGGGACCCAACAGCAACTCTTCCTGTTTCAGTGCTTTTTGGCATCCAAGTGACGCATCGTTGCTTTGGCAGAGGCAAACCTAGTGGCAGGCGACATATAAATAGGTTAACAATGTTGGCATGGGATAAACTAATAACAACACACACACCAAAAAGTTGTTGTAAAGTAAACAGCAGAGGAATTTTTCATCTGTAGATTATTATGTATTTATTATTAATAATATGCACCCAATAATGTGCAGAATTAATATCAACAGCACAAGGATGATAGGTTGGGCTTATTTTTTTCCCCTGTACACCAGATAAAAGACAAATAGGCAAAGTAGGCAATTATAATTGGCCATTATTCCAATAAAGGTGTTTCCCTTCTCAAATTAGTCCATGAAAACTGCACACTATCCAAATCCCATGAACCTGAGAGGTGTTAATAAACATCTGGTCATGGTTTTTGCTTAATTAGCAATCCTTAGTTTGGACTGAAGTCTGTTTATGTAAAACAAAACACACGTATGTGTGCGCGCACACACGTCCTCCCCTGCCTCCCTCCTTCCTCCCCAAATAACAATAATATAAAAAAAAAGCGAGGTTTTTGTTCCGTGAGGCACAGCCCTTCAGCAGTCCAAACCACCTTCTTGTAAGTGCTCGGTGGGAGAATTGGATTTTTAAGTCTTATCATTTGTCAACGCAGCAGAATAAAATGAAAGCTATTTGGATTTGTCGGTTTCTGTTCATTTTACCAGACTAATGTCACCTCAATCAGACCTACGAAATCCCTGTATTTTATTGGAATCAAAATTACCATTTTTAAATGCAAAAAGAAATTGCGTACTTACTATAGGTTACTGGAAAATGCCATTTTATTATTCTTAGCATCCAAAATCTTACAGCACCATCTCTCTAAGGAGCAGCATTGGCAGGGAGGTAATGGATAAACATGCAACTGGGCTTGCAAGACTATACTGTCTAAATTAGATAAAAGAAAAGTAGGAAGAAAACTCCAAGATAAGTGGTACAAAGTAAATCAAAACAAATCATCTTACCAAACTTTATTCGCATCTGATACCATTTTTAGAAATTAAGGTCAGTTTTGTGGAACTAATAGGGAGTTACACCTATATATCTTGGGCACCATGACAATGCTTGAGAGGAAGATTTATACACTATGGTTGCAGATGCAGAAGAAAGATATGAGAGATCAAATGGAAGTGCATGATAACAAATGAAAAATGGTCCCCACAGCCCATAAATTAATTGAGAAAAGAAGGTTGTCATTATTTGAACATGCTTTAAAATAAGGTATGGGGTCCAGATGGCAGAGAATAGATAGGCCAACAAAGTTTGAGTAATTGATGACTTAAAAATAAAACAAGATCTTAAAGAAATGAATCACGTTGGGAGAGTTAGAGGAGGAATATTAGATGAAAAAGCACAAAAACTCCTCGAAACTTCAGAGCAAAAATCAAAGTATAGGAAAACAGACACATTTTTTCGTGAAGGATCTAAATAAATGTAAGTAATAAATATTTCAGGCAGCAATTGTATCCTCATTAAGGACACTTTCCTATTGTCATTTCATTAACCTATTCAGCTTTGTTTTCACGATTTTATTTCTTTTTTTCTGTGGTCTAAGTTTTTTTAGGAATGAACTGAAAGAAATTAGCAAAGACTGTGCTATAAAAATCACAATTACCACTCCTGCTCCCGTCACTGCTGTTAGCTCATAAGGTCACTGCAAAGAGCCCTTTGGTAAACAGTGACACGATTTCCAGAGCTTATTGTCTGCATTTACAGTGTCCAGCTTCCAGCAACCTGGCTTGTTGGGCTGCTTAAACCCAAACCCTTCCTTGCTTCATTTTCAGGTTAGCAGGGTCAGGGAAAAAAAGGCGCTTCCCCAGGTTTTATTTTGTGGGGGTTCCCCCCCCCCCCCCTTTTTTTGCTCCCCTTTTCTCTGTTCTTATTCTTTGGTCCCACACTGTAGGGGTGTGAACACACCTCTTTAGATATAATATGTAAAAAATAATACTGAAGTGTTATGCAATGCCAGGTAACAAACACAAAAATTATGTGCAATCTTATTATTTTTGCCTTTGAAATTTCACCCTTCTACCCACAGAGGAGATGAAAACATCTGTACAGGGGAGGGTGAGCATGTCTGCAAGGGGATATGTGTGCGTGTATATGTGTTTGTATACGTATCTGCACTTTGTGTGTGTGTGTGTGTCTGTGTGTGTCCGTGTGCGCGTGTATGCATGTGTGCATTTTCCATATTTATCGCTTTTCAGTACATTAGAGCATTTAGTACTTTGGAAGGCACTCATCCAAACAGAGCTCCATGTAAATGCACTGTGTACAAGCCAAGAAAGAACGGCTCCAGGCTGATAGAAACCTCAGAAGTATGTTAAATCATAGTACTCAACTGTTCCTCATTAGAACACTCCTCATTTCTTCTTTTTTTTCCCTTCCACTTAAAAAAAAAATAATTTTTCCTCAAAGCCACTTACTTCGATGCTGCACTCTAGGAGCATATTATGAATATTCAGATTGAAAATAGAGAACCATCTAATAACGTGGAACACAAAGGAGCCCTGAAATGTATTCAGCCTCTTATTTACATTGTTATGAGAGATATTGCATTATCAAACAATGGCTCCATTCCACACTGTATCCGTTACCCCTCGCATTAGGCTCCTTGGGAACTTATTATTGATGACAAAAATGCATCTAATGAGAGACTGTAGACTCGCTAAATGTATAGGTAAGCTATATTGCCTATAAGAAAGATAGCCCTAAAGGAAAAAACATCAAAGCCCGAGAGCTGATTTGTTCAGAAGTGCAACTGAGATGGGAAGCAAAGCAAACTTGGGGACCTTCCCATCATCGCACACAATGATGTCATTAAGGTACATTAATCTCAAAAAAAAGATATATACGGAGAAACTAAAACGTGACCTTCGGCGCGGAAGGCAAGCAAAAAGGCTTGAAAATATTCAGAAGGCAGAAATATACAGGCAACAAACATTTCAAGGGAAAGATAGTTGCCAGCAGGATTGATTTGAATACTCAAACTGGTGATTTATTTCTCATGCTTCTCATAAAAAGAAAGGAAAGAGCCTTTTTCTTTTTTTTTTCCCTTTCCCCTCCTCTCCCCCTCGCTCTCTCTCACTCGCTCCCAGATGGTAGAAAGGATGGGATGAGGCTCGTGTGCCCATTGAGCAATGGCTGCCCTTTCACAGACACCACAAATGAATGCAGGATGCTGGATGGACCAATTCAAACACTCTACCAGGAGTATATAAAAAAAAAATGGGATAGCCCACGTTCTTTGCATTTGTAACAGAAGAAAGGGAAAAAGAACAATTTCATTAAAAGTCCAGCCTCTGTAAAGAGAATGTTAAATAGTTTCATACCCAAAATCCAAACTGCTTTGAATGCAAGTCCTGCTTTGCCCTTAACTGAAATGAAATTTCACAAATCTGGCTGTACATAGAGAAAGAAAATGAAAGACAAAATATTTACTCATGGACTCAATAGTCCCCTTTTTAAAAGGGAGGGGGTTAACTATTGATTTTTTAACAATATAAATTTAGCATATTTCACATGATCCATTACATTCCTTAGAACCATTAAGATGCAGTTTACATGATTTATTCAGAATAAGGTCCACTTTTAGCTATATTTAAGTCTCCTATTTGTTATTTAACATGTGTTTAATGTTTTCTGTCCCTGCTGTGCACAGCTGCAAGCTGCTATTTTTTGGCAATTTTTGTGACTGTGAAGTGATTTGTGTCTTTGAATCTCACCTTTCTATTCTACGGCCTGCTGTTTTGATTTTTTTCTAAACTTTAAGAAATAAGTTACGCCGCGTTATGACCTTTACTTCACTTCATGGAAGTAAACAAGAAGTCTAAAGGCCCATAAAATAATCATGGCAGGTATCCTTATGGGGTAGATACAAGGACACATGTGTAATTGATTTAGCATTTTGTGACACTGTAATTCAAAGCAGTTTAAGAAAAACCACCTGAAAATCCAGTAATGACATAGGAACTACTAATTGAGTGCTGGCAAACACTTCACTCACCACTTACAGTCGAGGCATATAAATCCTCCATGGCAGGGAATCTTCCATATTGTACAACTTCATTGAGATTATTTCAGCTGATCTCAATTAGAGGAAATCTGACCGGAAGAAAGTTGTTATTATTGTACAATATATTTAAAATATCCTATTTACTTTTACAGCCCTAAAGGAGACAGAGCGTGGTGTTGAAGTGCAACAGGAACAAACGATTGTGTGGCAGTAAGAGGCACCACAAAAGGTCTTCACCCACCCCTATGTCCCAAACTCCTCCAGACTGATGGGGCACTCTTACAGAGGTGGCTACCAAGTCCCAGGTAGTCCTAGCCACCACTATGGCCCTGCCTGTCCTCAGCCCACAGTGGCTGGCACAGTCTCCCTCGCCTTTCCCCCCGCTGCTTTTCCTTTGGCCACCTCTTGATTTTGCAGAAATGAATCAGTATCTCTCTCTCGCAAATTAGAATCTACGTATAATTCATGGGCAATGAATGTGCAATGTTCATATAATGATCTAAAAAGGCAGTTAGCAGTGCATAATGCATATGCTGGTACATATTCCTTTTTTATGTGGAGTAAAATGGGAGTGCTTTGTGGTGTGCTGAAACCTCAGAGATGCGTGCCGGTGAGTCACTCGCTTTTTTGGAAGGTTCATATTCCACCTCACCAGTAAATATAAGGAAAGTGAAACACTGTTGGGTGCATTGGGGGTATTTGTCGTCCCTCTTTATGATACCCCTGTATAATTTTGGTGTCGATCAAACTGCTACTTTAATTGATAGCGGAGCATTTCCCCCTAAAAATTTTAAGCAAATAAAGTAGGTAAAAATGCCTGTGTCAATTTGAATACATTTACCTGTAAGTGGCAAACTTAGTAACTTCATTTATCTGATTTTAATGAAAATGGAAAATGCACTGCTATACGACTTTAAAAAAAAAAAAAGTAAAATATACTGGTTATTACTGTTTGATATATGTTCCCCATCCTTTTATAGGATCTATAAGAGAAAGCCATGTTGAAACAGTTTAATGCAATGCCTTTAACTTATCTAAACCACATTCAACTGACTGCACTGGGAAAATTGAATCTTTTCCTCACAATCTTAGTGACATGAAAAATATATAATACAGTAAATGATTAATGCAGTTATAAACTATACCTGAGATAAGATTTAAGTATTCATATTTCTATCATGTTAATACAACACGATAAACCCATGAAGCAAACTTGACCATAGCATTTGTTATTCTGTCCAGTGTTCAATTATTCTTTGTCCAAATACAATTTAGGAGCTTGCTAGAATACATTCTCCGGGTAGGAAGCATTATGTGCTACAGTGAGATAATCAAAGCAGTGGTCAGCAACTGTAGACCTCGATCCAGTACACTCAGAGCTGCAAAATAAAAGGGAGCCCAGAATATAACCACATGCAGGTTTTTATTTTGGCTGTCCAGCATATGTCATTTGCAAGGGAAGGCATTATTTTTCTTTGCTTTTCTATGATTTCACTCAGGGCTTTATATTTGCAGGTAACCTAAATTGACGTAGTCGCAGATGTGCTTAGCAACTACCAGAGCAATTTCAAACCACATTTCTTTAATAACCAACCTCTTCTTCTAATTTGTGCAGTAAGGGTCAAATTCTGCCCGTGGGAAACACATGTGTATGACTCTGAATGACACCAAGAGAAAAACAGAGCCCACAGTGATGACCACTTTGACGCTTTGATGGACATTTTATTGCAAGGATCTTGTGCCTCTATGTAAATAATTAACAATTGTGCTATAGACAGGCAGCGTGCCTAGGAGGGAAAGCACAAAGCTGGGAGACAGGATGGGAAATCTGTGGGCATCTCCTGGCCAGTATCTTTGCAGGGGGTTACTTGAGGTCTCAACATGCCCTTTTGCTAATTGAGTACAAAACTTCATTTTCAAAGGTGCATTTATACCCTTGAATGATAGGTGAAATAATTTTGAAATTAGATAAAGTGATGAGGGTATTTTACAAGTTTAACCCAGCTTTGAGCAAGTGGTTGCAATAGCCAACATCTAGAGGTCCCATCCAATCTAAATTATGGTACGATTCAATGACTGCAGCCCTTGGCAGCATTGGTTTTAAAACACCTGCCACTCTGAGCCCTATTCCCACAACTCCATCCCACACTGTCCACGTACACGGACACCCCAGATGCATCTCATGGTGTGGTGACCCGCTTTAACCAGTGTGTAGACTGGAGTCTCCTTAGGGCCAGCTGAAAATTCCCTTGAGCTCTCTGAAAGGTTGGTGGTTTCCGAGCTGGAATCGGTGGTAAAAGCTAGAGGTTCCTTTAAGAGTTACTCAGAGAATAATGCTGAAGATGAGCAGGATTTAATAATGAAAAAAAAAAAAATATATTTTTTTTGTCAATGCTTTCATTGAAAAATTAAATTGCCAGGAGTTTTTCTGTTTTATTTGCCCCCCAACTCAGCTGTCAGCTGAAGAGCTTTTGATGAAAATGTATTTTTGAAATGAGTACAGAAGCCAGCTGGGACGGCCAGGCAAGGCCCTTTGCTAAGCTAATCTGTCACTGACTAAGGTTTGGATGGGCAATTCAGGATGATCTGAGGTTTGCCTAGCTTTCAGAACAGTAGGTAAGCTTAATAGCCATATTTTAAATAATACTGCTAAACTCCACCACATTGCAGCTATGCCCTGTAATCAAAAGGGAAAAAAAAAGCAAGGAGCTGACAGAATTAGAATAGAATACAAGACACCTCTCTGGATGGAGTTATTTTATTTTCCCAAAAGGAGCCACAAGCTCTTCTTTAATTGAATAGGCCTTAAGAACACAAACAGCATCAAAAATGATAAGCAGAAATGAAACACTTCCCACTACTTGTTTAAAATTTGGGAAAGCTGTATCTTTATTTCCATGATGTTAATTTTATGGGTTCATTCATTTTCCATTGGATCAGAACTTCTGCATATAATAGTTACCAGCATTTCAAACAAGAAATCATATATTACTGTATATATACCAGGATACTCACTGTTGTAGTGGTAATACTAGTTAACGGGACACTTTTAGTTAAGAATAAAAAAAGCTGACACAATTGGTCAGACAAACACCATTATTGCTCTGATAAAGCCACAATGTGCAGCTGTTTAATTAGGTATTGGCATAAGCATTTGCCTCTATAAGCACTGATAGTAACTCCATTTGCATTTTCGTGTATGTACTTTCATGTATATATGTAAATCTGACCTGCAATAAATATTTAATTTCTTTCAAGCGTTCCTGATTTACTTTCATGCTGGTTGCAAGACTTCTAGAAACACAAATGGTTTCCTTTCATGAGCAAGATACGTCAAGTGTCTTCCTTTTTGTAACACATTTACATTTCTCAGGTTTTCTAGGTTGGTTTGCGCTACTTTTAGTGATGCAAACTTGAATAGAGACTTAATGTCCTCGCAGCAATCTTACAACAATTTCCAAACATGCCTATGGTAATCCTATTATCACACACGCTTACAATGACAAAATGATCTCAGTGCAAGTCTGCAGTGACCCTCTGGAAGGCAATACCATTATAATGTGAGATTATACAGGTAAAATGAATTCAGTGAAAACATACACTGTGTTTGAATTGCAGTGTGGAGCCCTGATGAAATGATAAAATCAAGTTCACCTTTATGCTACATTATGTTTATGTTAAATGCAAGGATAAGATGGGAGGAGCTGTGCTCAATAAGTGTGTAGCAAGAGTGGTGTAAAATACAAAGGGGTTCAAGCAGCTCCAGAATGAAAGTCCAACCAGTCTGCAGAAAAGAGCTCAACAGATTTGTTCAAGTCTGGTCAGTGGAGGGGGGGTGCAGTGGTAATCCTGATATGCCAGAGGCTGCCCAGCAGGCTGGTACCCAACCAGTGACAGAGCCCAACACCTCTGTTCTGCTACTCAGCCCCGTCACCTCCCCATCCCTGGCCACCCAGGGCCACCCTCAGCACCTGTGAAGAGCCCTTATCCTAAACCATTTTAAGCCTTCCACCAACGCATTAATGATTACCGTTTATCATGCTTTTCAACACTCAAAAGGGTAATGCAAAATCAGCACTGAATTCATTAATTTATTAATTAAAAGAGAGGACAGGAATACATTAGAAGCCTCCAGAAATGGTCACACAGAAGTGCACTCTCCATAAAACTCTTTGGCCTTCACCTCCTCCTGCAAAAGCAGGAGCAACCCAAAGGTTGGGGCCCTATTCAGTGACTTTGATCAAGGATGCAGTGATCTTTCCTCGTGGAAACAGAGATGTTTCCCTACCCCTGACTTGAGATTTTTTTAATCCAGCTTAACGCAGTTATCATCACACCACCAACACGCAGCAAATTACCATGGGCACCCAGGCCCTGCTGAGGCAAAAGGGAACTTTGCTGGGTTGGCTTGCAACATGGATGGCCAAGGGGAGCCCCCAGCCTTGGCACCACCAGCCCCCCTGGAGAGCCACTCTGGCTTCTAGGGACCCTTTGTCAGATGTGTAGCAAACACAAGTGTACAGTGCAATATTTTGGCCAGAGATGGGTGAAATCAATCTCACCCAGCACTAAATATGTAAAGTCAGGTACCTAGCCTGCACTAGTCACTAAGCTACATCTTTTTTTATAATCTTTAGAGACTGTAAATCCCATTCATTTGACCAAGGCTAAGACTCTGCCTTAGCACAAACCGCCCTGTTTCACTCCACTGACTTTAAAGGGTAACTAGCTCAGACTTAATTGTCTAACTTTTAGACATCAAAGTCAAGGAAGATGAATATTATCTACCCACTATTCCATGGATGTCAAACTGAAATGAGCAAAAAATAAGGAGAGACTAGTCAAACTATTTCCCCTTTTGATAATTAGGAACTGTAAGATGTTTACTTACAGAATATGCTTTTCAGAAATAACTTAAATAAATCTGTGAAGCTGTCAACTATTGCAGATGTTTTGTATCTACATCTGTAGGGATTTCATAACACTTATTAAAAACCTTCATGCATCTAGCTTGGGAAAGCCCTTCTGGATGAAAAGGTGGTTTCCAGGGATAGCCTGTTCGCTTCAAGCTTTTCTAATCCTTTTTGTGTTGGAAAGTATGACATTTCTGCTTTGAACTTGAGCTGTCTATGTAGCCTTGAAGTAAACAGAGAGGGAGAGTCCATAAACCTTAGTAGTATAACTGAGAATGATCCAGTCTCAGTGGTGCCATATGTGGGGTGAGCCATGGCAAGTCCCCCACAATCTGTCTCACAGGTCACCGTTGTTTGAGAGACTCCAGGAGAGCTCCCTGTGTGCTCCCTGTGTCCCCCTCTGAAGGGAAGATCAACTGGAGGTATTTAAGGAGCGTGGCTCGAGACTTGACAGATTCAAGTTTGTAAAGAACAGGCCAAACAAGTCCCAGCTCCTCACATCCCAGTGATTTTCCCAGCCAACCAACACACAGCAATAAGAGAAAATCAAGGAAAGCTTTCCTGTGTTATTGCTTTTACATGTGTCTCAAAGTGATTGACAGTGCTCATATTTTCATTATGGCATCTGCAGATAATGAGGTATCTAGGCACAGGAATATCCACTGCTTGAGCATGCCAGGAATATTATCACTGACGTTTGAGCAAAAACATTGCAATTCCACACAATACCTCTACATCTTAGAAACGTCAAAACACAGCCAGATGCTGGAGCCATGGCTGCTGAAATCACATGGGTTAGCTGGTATCTCTCGAAAGAATTATTATAGATGTAAGGTATCTATTTAGCCAGTCAGGATCATGGGTTTTAATTCTGCAGATAAGAGCAGGCTCTCCCTTGAATTTAAAGACTCTCTCCCCTTCCTCCTTTTGAAATCTTCATAGTTTTCTACAAACAAGGCTCAAGAACCGCCTCAAGTGCTGTGAGGAAGAACTTTCTGAGCTATATGGCAGCTAAACCAAACTCACTCTGAGGGAAGGCTGCAGAAAACGTGCACTCTCAGGCAGCTGAGATGATTCCGTGAATGATGGTGCAGGGCTAACTCTGCCACTGACCTACTGGTGTGCACCACCCAGTCAGCTGTCAGCCGCCAAGCCAAGTGTCCTTCACCTTGAGTCCGAAACGGAGGGGGGTGGACAAGCAGAGACTACCCACATGGGATGCGTGCAGGCCCTGGCTGGACTGCAGGAGGTGGCTACAGGTTCATAAGGTGAAGAACAGTGTTTGAAATCTGGAAAACAGGCACAGAAACTCCGTTAAAATTCTGTTCCTAGGGGGCGAGGAGGTCAATGTCTACGAAACGCAGCAGTGGCCACATCAACAGGGCTTCACCAGTGGCTGCCTGCTGGGGACACCCTCTGGGTCCCAGGCACAGGGGCACGGAGTGAGCAAGCTGCTCTACCTGGTGCCAGTGAAAATGCTCTGAATACGTAAGAGTTTACACCAAATAATCAATGGAGTTCCCAGGCACAGGGGCACGGAGTGAGCAAGCCGCTCTGCCCGGCGCCAGTGAAAATGCTCTGAGTTTACACCAAATAATCAATGGAGCGATGCTGGAAATGCACATCTTCCTTCCCTTCACAGTAGGGGTGAAGAAGGAGTGAGCAAGCTGCTCTACCTGGTGCCAGTGAAAATGCTCTGAATACGTAAGAGTTTACACCAAATAATCAATGGAGTGATGCTGGAAATGCACATCTTCCTTCCCTTCCTCCCTCCATTCCCAGCAGGAGTGAAGGCGGCACTGCCAACACCAGCTCCTCCCCTTCCCCTTGGACTTGTCTGAAATGCTGATGCTGGGATGTGTGCCTTTAACAGCTTCACCTTCCCCCATTCCCACCAAGTGTTTTTATTGCCTTGGCAGGAATTCCATGCCTTTGTCTTGGCTTTCCACGCAGGTCTGGCACGGGTGGCCTTAGGATAGGAAGCAAGCACTGAGTTTCCTTAAGAGGAACAGACATCCTTAGCCTTGAAAACCAGCAAGCAGGCCTTCACGCACAGAACACAAAGAAAGGATGTTCTCCACGCATCTTTTCAATGTCTTTGGACATTACAGCTGCTTTTTTCCCCCCACCACGCTTCCGCTGTTTGACCCTTGTCCCAGCTAAAAGTGCAAGGCATGTTAGGTGCAAACTCATATTCTCAGTCCTGCTGCAGCAATAGCCAGTGATCCACAACAGCCCTGGAGTCACACAGCCTGCGAGGGGATGCCTCTGAGCAAACACAGGGAGATTTGCAGAAGCCCTTCATTCAAAACCAGACAGAGCACGCGTAGGATCAATGTACAGCATCCATCGTCCCGCCTCCCTTCTAAAGAAATTGTTTCTCCAGCTGGATGCCAAAACTTCAGTAAAACGCCCCGTAAAGATGAAGTGCTCAAAAAAAAAATATCACTGTGGCTAAAAAGATAGTAAAAGAGCTGAGGGTGATCACTCTCCTTTGGCATCACCCATAAGCTAAGGTGTACTGAAATGGAAATGGACACCTGTACACTGGATTAGAGTTTGTACTCATTTAAAACATTTCTTACCAAAAATAAAAAAAAATTTAAAAAAATCAGTTTTAAAAACTCTAAACCTTTCCTAGATAAGAATATAAAAGAATCTCACAGCAATAGGTTTTTAAATCCCCGTAAGATTGTATGCCAATACACCAGTGGGGTTTTTTTTGTGCCAAAAACCTGAAAAATTACCAAGTGTCCAAATGAAAACTACAGAAAGATTTATAATGTTCAGGAAATAAAAGCAACGTGCTCGGACAGGTCAGACAACTGCCTGAGATGTAATACTTTGCTAAATACTAAATAAGCCTTGTTCAATCACGACTATTGGAAGGTCATGGGGTTAGGACACCTCGTGAAATGTGAGAAGTTTCAGCTCCATGTGTTGCTCCAGCACGGCCTCCAAGTGTGACTTTGGTCATACCCCTCATTTCCCATCTCCAAACTGGAACCATGACTCCCTTCACACTCCCTGGGCCCGACCGCTCTAATGAGGCAGAGCACGGAGCACGCCTCATCCTGATGGTGCCGAGGTCTCCATTTCTGGCTGCGATGCAAAAACAACTAATAAAAATGAGGGAGCAATTTTTTTCAGGATTACGGGAGGATTCAGTCAAACAAATACCAGAAGCATTAATCAATTAAATTTCCAGCACCAGCCTGGAAATGCACTGTACTTCTGCTAGAATTGGTCTACCTTATGAAAATAATAAATCCTAACATTTTCATGAGGTTTTTTTTTTTTTTTTTCTTTCCTCCACGTGCTTAGAGATTTCTTATTATGCTTTGTCACCCAGCGCCGCCGCGCTAAACGTTGAGCCCTTTCTTCAGGTTGATAGCTAAAAGGGAAGAAAAATAATGATGTCTCGTAATGACAGCTGTTGGAGGGATTTGTGGGAATCAAAAAAGCTTTCCGGAAAACCCGGCGTACAGAACGCTTGACCCAGTTGTCATTACTCCTGCCTGGCCCAGCCGCTACCTCATACACCAGGAGCCTGCTCCTGCGCCGGCTGATGCAGAGGCAGCCTGGGACGGGCGGCGAGAGACAGAGCAGGGCAGCTGCAAATGAAAATCACCCTGGGGAGGGTTACAACTAGATAAAGTTTTCGACAATAAGATTCCAGAGACTGCTGACTGGAGAAAAGCTCAATATTTTAGTCTCAGTACAAATTTGCTTCAATCTTATACAACTCCCATGCAGCAGCATCCACAGCTGCATGCTGTAAACAACAAACAAATCTATTTCCATCAGCCCTGCTGATGCTATGAGAAAAGTGCCTGAGCATAAGACATGCACAGATGTAGAGTCTCACCTGAGCCTAGTGCTGCCCTCCATTTGGCCCCTCTAACTTAATATCGTTGTTACAAAGCTATTGGTCTCCTGGTAGCGAGCTGGCTCAATGCAGAGCCTCTTCTTCCAGCTAATCTGACAACTCCGATCCAAGAAGCATCAAGGGCCCAATTAAGAAGACACATCTTATCAAGGAGCTTATTTTGCATAACAGAATACAAATGACGAATAAAAATTTAATGTTTAATAACTTAGTACAAAGAGGGCTGTTGATATAGAATGCCTGGAATTTTTATGGCGGCTGTCAGACTTGTGATAAAACTGTTATATAGGAACACTTGGCAAAAAACAGCGTAGAATTTTTCAGTAATGGTGTGTGCATGATATTGCATTAATTCTTGATAGGAAAGTAACTGTAAGCCTGGGAATCAGCCAGTTTGAGTTTCACTGTAAGATGATTTTTTTTTTTGAAGGACATCTAAATACATTTTAATGAAGAGTTAGCTGAAAGGATAGTTGGTACTTCATAAATGCATTTGTGTGTTTGCTGAAGTCCAGAAATTACAGGCAAATCATCATAATCCCTCTGGGTTCAGAATAACTTTGTCAAATTCAGTGATGTGGCTGCAGTTCGCTGGAAACCATCACTAATGGAGAGGAGGGAGTAAGCTTAAAAGAGGAAGGAGAGGTTATCTATAAGGTTTGCCCTTGCTGGATAGGGGCATTTCTTCCATTTACTTACACCGTATGGAACAGTTGAACACGGATGTAGCTCTTTTTCTGACTTTGAAGATCATAATCTGGAGGAAAGCTTGACTTGCCTTTGTTCTTACGATCGCAATTTATACATTAGAAGTCCTTCATGCTAATAAAAAAAAAATAGATTTTTATGCTTTAAGTTCTGATACAAAATCAGTTCTTCAAACAGCAGGTATGCATTGAATTATCAAAGAATTATTGCAGCCTCTGTAACTAGCATGTTCTGTAAATATGTCAATAACAATCAGGAAAAAAAAAAAGGTGTTCAGTTTTTCTTTTAATCATTTTCATAAAGCTGATGCTCTTGCACAGGTTTGGAATGCTTGCATCATATTCTGATGAATTTGCCATATATCTTAGGCATTTTTGTAAGAAAAAAAAAATCTAAATATCTAAGTGGAGAAATTAAGTCATTTTTACCAGTACACTTAAAATAAAGTGTCCATTAAATAATGCTAAACTAATGCTGAATGAGAGTGGAACTCTTTTAGAAGTACATATCACATCCGTATGAATACTAAATGAATTTCTTATTCATTCGATTCTATTGTATTAGTGTTATTGCAATGAATACTAAATGAATTCCTAATGATTGGATACTTAAAATAAAGTGTTACCCCTTTACAATAGTCATCAAACTTTAAGGACAAATTGAGATAAAAAAAAATTATGTACTGTTGGGGAAAAAAAAAGGTTGAACTGTATAGTTCAGACTATTGAAAAGTATAATTTATCTGATGATGCTAATATTCAGATGCAGTCTTACGTTAAAATTAATACTACAGGAGTGGACCCTTATACAGAGGATTTGTTGCAGAAATAAAATCTATCAGTAACAGTTTCATTGTTCCATCATTATGAACTCATTTGGTATTCACTGTAATAGCACTGATCGTAATGAATTTGTTTGATATTCATGTGGCTCTCACATGCATTAACATAGGCTTTCTGTTGTAATTCAACATCCAACAAGCATTAGTTAATGCAGACTTTGGATTAGGCATGGACCAGTATTCTGCAACTGGAGTTTCCTTTCAGTTTATAAGCAGCTAAAGGACATTTATATCTGTCTAATTCCTGGCTCTTTTTTTTTTTTTTTTTCCTGTGATACATTGTTTTTAAGCTGGAAAGCCTCCTGAAAGATCCCACATTGCCTTTTCATATGAACATAGGTGTGTGCCATCTTGTATCTCGGGCGGCAAGCCAGAAAGCCAGAATTTTATCACCCAGGCACATTACCTCATTATCCCCTTGGCAATAGTGGCTTTGGCACAGGCTGGAGCTGGCAGGGTACTGAGGGAGCAAGAAATCCTGACTCCTGGTATTAAATGGATTTTGTCGCTTAAGGTTGTGAAATGCCAATACTTCCCGAGTATTGGATAATACTTATTTGGCAAAATGAACTCCTGCCCTTGCAGTGTCTTCTTCAGAGGAAATAACTCTGTGTTAAAAAAAAAAAAAAAAAAAAAAAAAAAAAAAGCAGGGTAAATCTTTGGAAAGTTTTCATAAAGGAGGGAACTCAGCCAGGTTTTCAGCAGGTTTGACTCACTTGAAATTTTTTGGGTATTCCTCAGTCAAAGCTTGACTAATGCAGGCTCTGGTGTGATTCAGCCTCAGTCAGGGTGTTAGACTCCGTTTCCCCATTGTGCCTCATGGTAATTATTCCTATTATATCTTCAAGAGATTATAGATGAGAGATAGATGAACTGCAATAACTATTAACAAGAATTATAGCAATTTTTATGCATAAGTGTTCAAAACACCAGGGGCCACGCACTCAGGTAATACACATGGATTTAGATCATGTAATCAATTCGATTGCAGTAATTGGTAACATGAAATTATGGAGTCAGGTGATCTGCTGATGCTATCAGCACTGCTGCTGCAACCCAAAGTGTTTTCAAAATACTGTCTCCATTTCATTTCAGTCTCACAAAGGAGGTTTTCCTGATGGCTTTATGCAAATAATTTCTTCCTCCCACACAACCCCACTTTCTGCCACCCTTCTTCCCCCACCAGACTCCAATTAAAAGGCTGGATTTCAGCCTTCCTCATGCATGGAGCTCCTCCTCATCTCCTTGGGGGGCTGGAGGTGTGAGGAAGCCAGGAGGGCTCCAGCATAGACCCACTGCATCCCAGAAACCTGGCAGGAGAGCTACAAATCCTTTCCAGAAATATCCTGTAAGGCTGACCTTGGGACTTGGGGAAGGTCAGGTCCCCGCCTGCTCTCTTTTGGAAGAAGAGGTGGGTCTGCAGCAGGCTCCTCACTCCACTCTCCTTTGTGCAGGACACTGGCAGAGCCCACTGTTGTCCAACCCAGAGATGGAGCAGCTGTTTGGGATGACCGTACCAGACACCCAAAATTATCAGGCTTAGTAGAACTGAAACTGGGAGCACAATTAGGAAAATACATGCATTGAATACAGTGATGGATGCTCAACCTAGTAGCAGAACCTAGCCCTCTGCTGCTGAGGAACCACCCCTGCAATGCAAGGTAGAACCTAGCCCTCTGCTGCTGAGGAACCACTATGCAAGGGTGGAAGCAGCACCAAAGCTGACCCCAGGAGGACACTAGGAAGGATCACAGGGAGAGAGGGGGAGCTGCCTGACAGCAGCCCTCCACCAGATGAGAAAGACTAGAAAATGAGGAAGACCTGCCCTGAGTGAATTATGGGAGACAAGTCTCCAGCTCTGTTACTTCAAAAAGTCATGGTGCCCACAATGACAGACTGCTCTGACCAGAAATGGCTGCGAGAGGTCCTCTTTCCTTGTGATTTAGCTTCCCTTTTGACTTGCAGGTGAGGCAAAATTTGTCAGGGCTCTTGGAGGCCCTGATAGATGTAAACACTGTTTAATTAATTTGATTTATGATATAATTGCACCACTGTGCTTGAGGGTTTAAGGGAGTTGCATTTCCAATGTTTCCTTCTAAAAAGAATTTCAGGTAAAACTTTGTTCAGGGGAGGCCGTGCTGCCCCAGTGGGTGCAAGACATGGCTACAAACGATACACCAACCTCCATGTCACCCATCTAATGATAGCCTCAGTCACCAGTTAAGCAAAGATATTTAGGTGCATAATTACTCCTCTTTTACCTATAGGTGTTGTTCTACATAGAGAAATTTAAGGCTCAGGTGAACTAGAAAATGGACCTTTTTTGGCTGGTTTTTTTTGTATCAAGGTTCTGTTTAGGACAGAGAACTGTTTCACAGGACTATGGAAAACATGTATTTTTCTATTCTTTCATTTTATTTGCCCCACTGAAAAAAATATCTGGTTTAGTTCCTTCTAAGCCAAGACTAAGGAAGATCATTTTTCCCTGAGATTCTAAGGAAAACATATTTTCTATTTTTTTAGTATAAAATATGTTTATAATTAGGTGATATATGGGAATTAATGTCTTGTGGTACAGAAGCACACAGAAAGGATGTAAGTCACCAGCTACTTTATACCATATATCATGACCAAGCACAAAGTTTGGCTGCATTTAATGGAAAAAATGGTGGGGAGCGTTGCCCAGCCAGCACAGAATACCTGTGATAATGTACTTGCATCCCTTCACAGTTAAACTAAAGCAAACGTATGTCACTGCTGTGTGTGCCGTAACACCTGGGCACAATAGAATGAATTCATGGACTGTGCACCCATAAATCTTCATTTCCTAGTTTTGTGGGTTTGTCAGGCCTTTAAAGTTATTTAACACGCTTTTTGCAGTGATAGATAGGTACTGAGAGTGTTATAAATACTAACTTGTGTCTGAAAGTTAGGCTGTGAAGCTATCACCCAGGCTTATGGTGTCTGTGGTTTTATATCCAGCTAACAAGTCACTTTCATGAGCCGGGACATCATCTGGAGTCTATGAATGCGTAAGAACCAACAGTTACTGTATATATGTTAGATGCTGTTTGATTCATATATACAACATTTCTTTTAGAAAAAAGCATAGTAAGAGCGTTCCTTGCTGTAGTTTTAAAAATAAAGACCATAGACCTTGCTAGTGTCTGGCCTATCAGGAATTCATAATGAAAACGAATGTTCATTTTTTCTTTAAAAGTGTCTCAAGCTAAATGATACTGACGCTTTCAATTTTTAACATCATAATCAATAAAGGCTGCTTATGCACACTTTGCAAAACCATCAGTTTAGAAGTTTGAAAAAAAAATCTGCATATGGCTGCAGCTTGCTGACTGCAAAGCTCTAGCACTAAATCTTCTGAGTTAAAGTTTTACTGGTGTGTTATGAGTAAAAATGCCTTGTCAGCCATCTGCCAGTTTTTCTCCTAACATCCATATTTTCAACCCTTGCTAAACATTGGGAGCATTTGGCCACAAGAGGCCAGCTCTACAATTAAACAGCCGAGTTCTGCAGCAGAAGCAAGGGCATGTCAAAATAGAACTGTCTGTTATTAATTTTAAAAGTCCATAAAGGAAAGCTATGACCCTGTCAGGGTGATGGACTGGCAGTTAAATGTATTATAAACTGTTAACTCTCAGAGACACAAAAGAAAAGGAAAAGAAAAACAATGCAGCAGTGTCAAAAGCTTCAATAAATGCTAATCATGGCAGATTAATCAGCCTCTAATTCCACTGATCCAAAAAGGTTAGAGAGTCAATTGTGTAAAATTAGCTCTTTCTCATGTGTCCCTTTGCATTTGGAGAATCTGTCTGTTCATTTGCATCTTTTGCCAATGTTTACGAAGAATTCAGTTCATTAGCTCTTAAACATAAAATCAGACACTGGAAGGGGGATTCATTGCCTTTTCCTGCTTAAAGTAGTACTTAAAGCAAATAGCATTGCTAGAGTGTACATTTATAGATTCTATCAAGCAGCATTAATTACTGTATGTCTCATATCCAGAAACCTTCTTTTCATAGGAAAGTTTTCATGTGAAGTGTTCTATTTGGTGTTGTAAGGAGGGCTTTTTTGATGGGTTAAGATAAAATGTTTAATCATAAGATTGAAATGAGACTAACAGCGAAGTGGAGCTGCTAGACCTTAGCAGAGTACGTGCTACAAAGAGCTCCCAGAAGTACGTGCACTCTCTGCGTTGGGAAATACCTGCTCTAACCTGCATTTGAAAATCCTGCGACTTGCCAAAGAGAATGGCAGTTCAAATGAATGACTATGCAGAACACAAGAAAGCCTGAGGAAGGATTGTTTAACGGCAAATAAAGCGAGAGATGAGAAGACGTATTAGCTAGTGCTGTTTGAAGTGTTTGTGACTGAACTTGGGACCAGACAGGACTCACCTGCCTTCCTCACAAAGCCGGTGTTCAGACGGGATTCATTCATCATGTGATGATGTTTGACTCCGGACTGAGTTTTGAGGTCTTGCACTGCTATGACTCAAGTTACTTGGGGAGTGCCTTAGAGCTAAGAAATGCAAGAATGAGGACCCTGATTTCATAATCCACCTGCAAGCTTTACCAGCCACGGCTTCCCTTTCCAGGGAAATGTGATGGTCAATTGAGGGGAACCTCAAAGGAATACATCTGTACACATGCTCTCCCCTTGCTCAGTTTGCCTGGACTGCCTCCACTGGGATGAAATTTGTGACTGGTTTCTCATTCCCCTTGAAAAAAAATTAATAAAATAAATACAGTGTTTCTTCCCCACACCAGACAGATCACATGATTTAACAGAAATCCAGGAATTTCCCACCCATTTGTTCCCCCACACTTCCTGGGAGCACTCTCCCATTGAGGTCTCTGCCAGAACCCTACCTGGAAGCCCATTTCCCCAGACACAGACAGGAGGGTGGAGGAGGTCTCTTCATCTCCCAGTTGCCTTCTTTTTTGGACTGGCCTCCGTGGGCAGGTCAGAGCTTCTTCTGACCTCCCCTCAGGGGAGCACCAGGGGAAGATCTCCATGTCACCTGCACAAAGAAGAGAAGAAGCAAAGGGCTATTTCTACCACCTTTCCACAGGGATGGGTCCCTGACTGTGAAATCCCCCAGCAGCTGAGGACCAACGCTGATGTCTCTGCTGTGAGTGCAGGGCACTGCCTTTGGCTTGGCCCTCTCTGACATAAACACATAGCAGCGTACCTATATATTATTAAAAAATTTCAAAGCAAAACGCTCCCTCAACAGATGCATTGGGGAAGAGGCTGCTTCCATGACATGCCCTAGTTTGTTGAAGGATTTGGATATCTGTACGCCATGTTTCAGTGCACAACATAAGTGAATTTTGTTTCTGGACACACTCAATGCAAAGCATGAAATTACAACTTAGTGAGAGGGACATTTAAAGGAAGAGAAAATACAGTTAGAATGTTCCATATGCATGGCTCTAGTTTTAAAATATGACCCACAAAGAATCTAGCTTAAAATATGAAAATACAATATGAAGTTTAAAAGATAATTATGAAGCAGTAAAACAGAAAACCACAAAATTATTTTAAAGGGAATGTAAAGTAAGTATATATGGCACAGTGCAATGGATGGACTGTCAGCAGTATTCCTTTGTGTGTGTACCTTTTATATTGCAGTGAACTGTGCAACAGCAAGATTTGAATATTCTGAATCTGCCATCTCCCTCTTCTGTCAATCAGATCCTTCCAATTTTGAACATGCCAGGATGAACTATGTTGACTTCTTTGGCACAAAAAAGTGAATCCAGGGAAATTCATATATTCAATGGTTTCATGAAAATGAGAAAAGTCTGTCTATTTGCTAGAACAGCTTTGGGCTAGTTTTGAATGGCTGCATTTCATCTCTGCATTTTCCCTCCCCACAACTGTTATGATGTGAAAAGTGCCCAAGGCCAGGGGCTTGTAGGCCCAAGTCCACTGAAATTAATTGTAATTGGGAAAAAAAGGCCTTTTGCCTGAGCCAGTCATATTATACTTTCCCATCTGACCACTTCTTTTCCATTGATGGATATAGTTTACTCTACCAAATCATTTCTATTTTTACAAGTGAAGCTAATTTAATTCCACCCAAAAATATATCAGACAGCTTCTGGCACCTATTCCCGTCTCAGAAGCACACTAAATGCTCAGGTACACATAAAGTTCTGCACATACATTTGCTCTTGCTTCTGCAAAGTTTTTACTTTAATAATAGAAACAGACAAGTTTAAATCCTTCTCTTTTGGACTGAATAGAGTGGATATTTTCCTACTGCAGGTGTGCTGTGCCACCTCCTCCTCCTCTTGCACTGAAGTTTGACTGTGCACAGGTTGTAGAGGGCAGAAGACTTCTGCAATTCTAGTCATTTTTCCTGACATTTTGCCATCTGAAGTTGTCATGAGATCAACCAAAGAAAGAACGAGTTACCCCTGCCACAATTACACAGGTTCACACTCTAAATCTAAGCTTCCCAAAAGTTTTCTGGTGTCTGGATTAATAAGGGTGGTATTTGTCCTGTTAAGGATCAGATAAGCTCAGCTCCACTTTTCAAAAGGACTAATGCCGAGCTCAGATTTGTTAAGAGGATCCCCCAGCTAAATGCACCCTCGCAGATACTTCATCCTTCCCAATGCTTTAAAGTAGATTATCCTGGTAACAGTAAGACTTTGATTTGATAAGTGCAGAGCTAGGAGAAACTTTTTGAACTGGTGCCATTGAGGATGGCAATAAGACTTGAAATTTCCAGTTTTAGTCACTGATTGGTTTTTCGTCTGTCAAGATCATTTTTAAAGTCTTTAGACTTCATCAGAATTCAGATTGAAGTGGGGTCATGTCCAGTCTCTATCTGCAGAGAATATCTCCCAAAAATATTTGGGTGCTGCAGGAAGTGGGGAGAGTGATTCAAAAGGTCTCATGTTTCTTTTATGGGCCTATATGACCAAGCATGGTATGAAGGGAGGAACTTCAATGCTAACGGAGTAAGCCTTCAGATAAGATGTAAACCAGAGTTCCTGGCCATTTTCTCTGTGCATCAGCCTTCTGGACACTTTCCAGATCCTCTCTGCCTACCTAAGCTTTCAACTGCCTAAGACAGTGTTTATTTCCTGCCCAAAACTGTTCAGTAGCATTCCTGTTCACTTTTAAAAAGAGTAGCTGCATCTTAGTGGTGGACGAAGAGAGCTTCTACCTCTCAAAGAGTATTATTAGACTGACTTAATTAAAATTTATAAATACACTTTAAGCTCAAGAACATCTTTTAAGAGGCAGAGATGCATGGGAAATGGATGAATTGAACAACCTGAGTGACAGCTACTGGAAACATTTTGTTAACCAGACAGGGGTTCTGATCTCCTGTACTATGGGCCTTGCACGTTTGCTTCCATGGTACAAATTAGCTGCAAATCATTGTTAAAATGGTAGCATTTGTGCCCAGTTTGCATTGGCCAATGTGATGGGTCAAGGTGGGGATAACAGACCCTGTCACGGGCAGTGGCTGTTACCCTGCCCTTCCCAACAGGCAATAGTCCTGTCCAAGGCAACTGCGACCATCTCCTCTTCCCTCTCCAGCACACCTTCAAGCAGATTGACAAACAGATTAATAACTGAAAGAGGCTCAGATGTAAATCTGTATGCAGGTATTGTTCCTGGACCCTATTTCTGAACCAAATCTTGCCGGGAAATATCAGGCTCTATTTCAAATTTGGCAGTTAGGCACACTCTAGTCTAAATTGGAGGCTTAATCTTAGATTTCCCATGTTTCTCTCTCCTTATCTAGTGCAAAATACAGTGAGAAGAGAAGAGAAGAAAAACTCCCAGGAACCCTTCTCTTTGCACAGATGAGGAACAGCAAATCATAAGCAGGTTCTTTGAATGCTCAAGTATATGATTATATATTTCACTGTCAACTAAAACCACACGAATAGGAAAATATTACTGTGAAAATACTGCCTGTAATGAGAGGACTTGGTTGTCACATTTGGTAAGACATAATTTATCTTTTATCTGGTATTAGTGAATAGTATCACTTTGCCATTCACTGTAGTGTGTTTCCTTTAGAAATTCAAACAAACTTTCCTTAATATTAAATCCTAGGTAAAGAAAGCTATCTTTTCTGGATGTCATAAGCCTTGGATAATATACGGAATGCACTCTGATTTCCACTGTTCCTTTCCCCAAATCTGCAAAATTCTCAGAAAAATATCGTTCCTTGATTACATCCCAATGAGGTTCTGTTGACTTATGCTAGCAGAAGACCTAGATCATCTGTTTTCTGTTGTTTCATTACCTTCCCACCTTTCTTTGTCTGGGTTATTTGTCCCCTAGCCAGAAGGTGCTGCCTTATAAAGAGGGTTGTGTTTTTACATCAGACTCAGTTCTGGATGATTTCTTTCTTTGTCTGCAGCCATAACATCCTCTTGTTCACACAGAAATAAAAAACCACAAAGGGTATGGATTATGCGATGCATTTCCTGTAACATTTAATAATCACAGTAAAACACTGGCATATATTGCTGTCTACTTACAAATCTCTATTTTCTGTAGAAATTACAGCTTACTGTTTAAATCACCTGAATAATCTGCTTTATACATGCGAACAACATAATAAACCAACTCATCCTGACTAGATTAATATCCTCTAATGAACTTAACACACGTGGTCCAGATTCTGCTCTACGTTTCACTAACGTCGGTCTCAAATAATACATCCTTATTTACAAATGGCATAAAATGAGGCATGAATCATTCTCCTGAACTGACTAAAGCTAGATGTTCACGAATGCCCACAGAGTGAGCCATACTTCCCAGGTTTTGTCTCAGGGACAGTTTCTCCCCAATCCCCATCAGCAGGATGACTCACCTCTCCCAAGCACGCACACCTTCGTTCCCTCCCATCTAAAGCCAGAAAACATCACTGCAGCAACTGCAGCAATTGTTTTCCAGGGAAAGGAGCATTTGGGAAGTATTTAATGTATTTCTGACTGTCTTCCAGTGCAGTTTAGCAGCTGGAAGTCAAGTACAGAGCCAGAGCAAAGAGTTTATCCTGTGTTACCGCACTTTGTGTCTTTTTCCACTGACTTTGAGTGGGAAAATGGGGAAAATGGCACTCCCATGAATGTCGAGTTGTTACCAGAACACATGGGACAGTGTCCTGCACAGCAGGCTCTGACCCTTCCCTTGGTCTTGGCCCATGATTGATTTAAACAGGACTAATTGCGTGTTCCATGCTTTAAGAACCACAGACAACTAAAAGTACTTGACAAGCCTGTTTTGGGTAGGTACTGGTTAAGTCTCTGTTCCTCTCAGCTGGGGAGGATGTTTGAATTACCTGATTGGAAAATAAAGGCATTTAAAAAAAAAAAAAAAAAGATACTTTTCCTTTTTCCTTTCCTCTGTTTCTTTTAGAAACAAAACAAAACAAGGAAACCTGAACATTTGACAATCTACAGATTTCTCTTTATAAAACAAATAATAAAAATGAAGCTTTTTAGCTTTGTGAAGATGATTACCAAGAAACTCCAACAATGCTGAGCAGTTATGTATTTGTTGGAAACCTGCGTTCCTATTATAAAGCTCTTCCCACAGAAGCCTTTAAATTAAAATTATTTTTGAAGCCTAGCCTAGAACATCAAAAACAAATCAGAGTTCGAGCGCGCAGTATGATTCCCACTGGGAAAAGGGATTCATTTACAGATGCTGGGTGATTTTTGTGACAGTAGGAAAGACATTTATTTTCATAGAAGAAGAGAGGTCCAATTCTAAAGCACGGCCTATTTGTATCTGGCGGTGGGTTACTCATTGAAAAATTATTGATCTTCACTGAGATTAAGTCAAAAGTTATTTTTGTTTTCGGCACTGCGTGTAGTCTCAGCGGAGTCCCAGCACCGCTCTGAATCTGTTCTGTTGGCAGGGGATGGTGTGTGTGAGCAGGGACAGGTTGTCCCCCCGGCGCAGCAGCGGTGGGAGAGGCCGTAGAGCATCCCGTGCCACCCAGCCCCATCAAAGGCTTCCTCTCCCATTTCAGCCCGGGAGCCCAAACAATGAACTTCAACCAGCACAAGAGAAACGGCAGCAGGGTTTAAGGCAACGCTTCAGTTTCCTTTTCACGTACTGCAATTAACAACCAGTGGCAAGCTGCCCACTTGGAAAGGTAGCACATCGATATATTTTGAATAGCTACAAGCTTTGTTGTTGCTAATATTGTTATTATTATTATTATTGCCTTTTCTCTTAAGCTTTTTATTAGCTTAGTGATAATTTCCAAAGATTACTTTGATTCCTTTAATATTTCTTTCATAAAAAAAAAAAAATCCAGCTAATATTTAGTAATTCCCCAGTTTCCCCCAAATACACATTGAAACTATAAAGTGCTTCTAAATATCCTGAGAATTCTCTAAATAGATTTTGTAAAATTCCCGTAACCTCTCACTAACCACCAAGCCCTTATTATCTAAAGAGGCTTCCAGGGAGGTGTTTGTAGGTAATTACCCAAGAATTAATCATAGGATTAACATAAAAGGCAAAATATAATAAATAATCAAGTTCTTACATACGCAAATCATTGTGAGGTATGTTACCAATTTTCATAGAGGGGCCACTGTCAGAAATGCAATTTCATCTATCCAATTAGCAGGTTTTCCTGCATTATAAATCTGTCACTGCTTTCTTTGCACCAAACAGCTGCTTATGCAAGTAACTGTGTGAAACTCTATTAAAAACCACAGGTCTGTATAAAGGGGGGTTTAGAAAAAATAAATTCCCAATAAAGCTGCATTAGATCTACTTGGTCTGGAAGGCTGTGGTCAAGAAGCAGTTAAAATTATTAGGAAGGGAATTCCATCATGCTATTAATGTCCTGCAATTCAGCTGTGACTGTGTTCTGTTCACTTGGTTTTCCTCTTCAAGTGCTGTTCTGTTTTTAAAGCTGCTTTGAAGGAATGCTCTCCAGTGGACTGCCGCCTGTCACTGCTCCCTGTCATGTGTCCGATAATTAAAATCTGACTGATTTACTGACTGGCATCAACCATCACAGCTCAAGAGTTAGAAGATGTTCATCCTTCCCAAGGCTAAATTTACTTGGTGAAAAGGGGCCGCTTGCTTCCAGCCTGAGCTGTCATTCAGCTGCCGTGGAAACCATAAAGATAGCTAACAGAGCCCCAGCCAGCAGTCTTTAGTTTATTTTATTCTAATATTTATTGCCACCCAGAAAATGAACATAATACAGACAAGTTAGTGAGAGCACTGCACTAGTGATTTGTGAGGCTGGTGTGGAGTGAGAGCAAAACAGTCCTGCAGTATTAAAATAAAATAGAACAGCGGTGTTTCCCAAAAGTATGGCAGGGCTGTAGCTGTGTTTATTTTAACCCTAATGGGGTGCAATTTATTATTACATTTTAAGTAGATGCACTCTTGGAGAAGGGTGGTTGGGGTTTTTTTTCCTCCTTTTTTTTTTTTTTTTTTTTCCCCTAAGTGCACACTGCTCAGGAAGTACAAAAAAAAAAAGGAAAGGAAAGGAATATCATGTCATCCTGTGTGAATGATCTAGCAGTATTAATGGAGCCTCCAGGATCTATTGAAAGCAGCAACTTCAATAGCTCAGGGTCATGATATCAGTACTTGTGATGGAACAAGCTATTTACAAAAGATTTAAACTCTGGGGAAGACGCCTCCTCCAGGCTCTCTGGCTTATTCTCCTTACCCTTTAGGGTCACATCCTGCTCATCTGGCTCCTTCTAGTTTCTCTGTTATCTCAGGTTGGATGTGACAGTTGCCAGCAATCTTTAGCTCTGACCCTCCACGGCGCAGCGTCACCCCAACCCAGAGCACAGCAGAGCAGCACTGTTCCCCAGTTTCCAACCTAGATATTTTTTTTCTTTAGTGCACTGCTCTCATTTTTTCTGTTCCCTCAGCTACAGTATTTGTCATTTTCTCCACATAAATAAAGCAAACCTTAAATATATACTGTCTGGTAAGAAACTCAAATACCTTTCCAGCATGAACAAGATTAATCACACATAATATTTACAGTACTAAACAAAACAATTATAACATCATATATACTCAGTTGAACAAACACACTGACAGTTCTTTTTGAAAACATACAGTAAAAATCAAATGAAAATCCATATCAGAACAAAGGAACTTATCTTCAATTTGTATTCCTCTGAAGCCATTTTTGAGACCAAAATTCAGATGCAAACACCTTCTCCAGAAGTCATCAAGGCCTGATTTACCACTGTCTTTCTGCTGTAGTGATACAGCTGGAGGGACAAGCAGTGCACTAGAAGCAAAGACAAGTAAAATTACAAAGAGGCATCAAAGGAAAGCCAGGTTTGCTCACTTACCTCTACAGCCCTTGGGGTTTTTGCTCCTGCAATTACCATAAACACACGAAGACACAAAGCCTTG